GTCCAATGAACTAGCCGGAACGGTTGTCATTAAGGCAAAGTTGAGTATGAAAATTAAGCTGTCAGTTTTCACGTCGATCTTCGTCGCGGCGCTCACCTACAGTCAGAAGTTTTAAGCCATGACTGAAAAAAACTTCCATCCAGGGTACAATGGGCAAAAATGGCTTTTTAAGACGAATTGTTGGCCTCATGCTTCTCGACATGGTCCGTGTAAAGATATCTGAGAGAAACTTGGTGTAGAGCTGTGACGGTATGGCCATGTCTTTTAAATGATTCTAGAAAGAAAGGCGAAACAACAACTACTTCTTCAACCGACCGGAGGAAGGTCTCTGGAACGACCCAGAAAAACCTCGGATAAGTGTCGCAGGACTCTGCTCAAAACTCGGGCTATCTTTGTCCGAAGCTCAAACACTGGCATAGGATCGGGAACGCTGAACACCTGTCTGGGGCGTCTACCTCCGCACCGAAAAGTATAAACAGTTACAGAAACTGAATGAGTGACTGAGGTCGGCCTTCTGGCTGTACAGCCATCAAACCCTTACCACATCAAACGTACTGTATAAAATTTGACGAATCCTTTATGGGATTATACCGCATACAAAGATTATACGTAAGTTCTCCAACGCTTCGGATCATGCTCGATTCGTCTTCAGGGAGCGACATATTACAGATACGATGTTACAGCACCGCTACCCGAAAGGAGATGCGGTCATGAAAGATGAAGAAGATGAAGACGCCAAAATACTTGTCGGTGCATTTAGGCAGAAATTTCACTATGGAGGTTTTAGCCTCGACTGCTGAAGTTGCTTAATAACTTCGTTCCGGTGCGAACTTAGTTCCGTACCGATGTCGTTATTCATGCATTGGTTTGACTGTATTATCACTGGTTCCTTTATCTTCCAGTTCCGTATTCTACAAAGTGGAAATAAAGAATCATGCAGTAAGTCAGTCTATGAGTACGGCATATTTTGGGCAATCTTCTGGAGGGGGGAGCGCAACGAAACCCTCCATGAGGAGATGGTCACTAAAACTGTAAATCCCTGGTTAAACAGGAATTTGACATACATAGCCTACGAGTCTACAAGATAAAGAAAACATTAGCTTAACAAGCAGCAGTGAATCGGAAACGGCTATTTATACTTAAATATGTACATAAAGCGGCACTCAAGTGCTGAAACACGTATACAATCAATAAAGATATATTCTCGCGACAGAGATGGCTTATGTGAAAAAAGTAAGCTAGCAGCATACACGGTAAACACAAAATGTGATTTCATACAGAAATGAAATCAAACCGTTTCATAGACAAAAAGGGATTACAATGAAACAAGAAAAACTACGATTTCGTACGGCATGCGCTGGAACTACGGAAACAGATCGCTGAACTGGTATGCACGAAACTCAGAAACAAGAAGCGGGAAAAATGGCATGTCTGAACAGAAATGATGAAAAAGATTGAGTTGAGCTTAAACGAGGAACATCTATGTAAAAACCCATGCAATTAACAAAAATTTAAGGCAAACAATCTGTAACGAAGTCAGCTAGAGAAACGGGATTTTTGAAGTGATCAATACAAGGCGAATGCATAGTCAGATAAACTGGCGCCGAGGAACCTATGCAACTGGCAGCAGCATGGCCTATGCTCCTACCTCATAAAGGTGTTAATAAACATACGCATCATCTATCGGCTTGAAGACAGGAGGAAGACGTTTGGACAGAGTATTCACAGTGAGGCGGCAAATGGAAAAGTAGAGAAAACGGAGATTCAGATTCTTTGCAATCTCTACAAACGTTTTGACACATTCCGTAGATGCTTTGTAGAAAATCGCTGAACAATATGGAATCACTTCTGCACTTGGTGACGGCCCGGAAGGGTACCCTAGCCAATATGGTGAAGCGAAACTGCGACCGTTGGCACCATCTGCGTAGATTCTGTTGCATTTCTGAACAATGTCATGCCGCTAGCAGACGCTTTGAAATGTTTCGATGTAGGTGTGTTGATATGCTCACAAGTTAAGACGAAATAGATGAAAATTAGTAGAAACTAGATGTCTGTCTGACCTTTGGCACCACAGCTGTGGAACCGGCTCATCTGTATCTTGAGAGTACGTTGGCTACAGAGGACGAGTCACAAACAAAGCTACGAGGAGCTACGCGTGGCAACAGAGGCGGGGCGAGCAACAAGTTATTCAAACTCTGGAAGGACAAAGATGTTGACAATGGATAAAAGCGGCGGATATACAGGGCTTGCATCTTCAGCATTTTGCTCCATAGCCTGGAAAAGGCAACACAACAAAACTGAAAACTTGACGCGAAGAAATGAAAATTTTAAGATCAATATTATGAATGACGTCCTAGATGTCGCGTCAAATGCAGATGTACGCGAGAGATTAGAACACGCAGCTAAGGTAGCGCACTGGTTGCAGACAAGGAGTTTAAGAAGGTGGGGCTATTGCCAACGAACCGATAACGGCGGCCTGGCGAAGCGAATTCTGAACGCAAAGCCTGATGGCAGGTGGCTCCCAGGAAGACCTCCAATAATTGGGAAAGATCTCATTAAGACTGACATGTCATTCAAAGGAATGTCGGGTGAACACGGATTTATTCGATCCAGGTGGAATTCTTGTACGGCAGCCGCCGTGTCTTTGTTGAAATGGGAGTAAAAAGAGGAGCAGAGGAAGCGGAAGAGGAAGAAGTTCATGTAAAACATTATAGAGGACTTATCTGCTGTACATAACAATTCATAGCCCATTTAACTGATCCGCACTCAAACCCTTACCGCAAATGAAACTCCACTAATCTTCTAGAAATCAAAACTAGTAATCGTTATGCCAAACAAAATTAATCATCTAAAAAACGATCAACAGACAATTACATGACGTTTGTCTTACGAAACTTCGATAATGTAGTTACCTGTACCTGTTGTCTCTACCGGAAGACCGATCGAGCATTAGGGAGAAACTGGAGAATATGCACTAAATAAATGCGATATGCGGTGTCATTTAGAAAAGGACTTTTCGAATTTAGACCTAGGTAAATCTGCGAATTCTGAACCAACTCCACAAAGCTTTGCAACAATACCGAGAATTTGCCACTGAGGCAAGACTCGTGCTCTAGTTTTTTGTCATGGCGAAAATTCCGCTATTTGACTCGAACTCGGGTAAATGCGGTAATCTCTCACTAACCATGTCCATGATCAGATGGCCGCATGTAGCACACTTCTCGGCTGACTGTTGGAATCCGGAATACTGCAACACATTATTTTCATTCGTTTGTTGTGGTACGCAGATACCATTCAAATTTACCAAATAGTCCTCTTCGCAATAGATACGACCTCGTGCTTCATAAAACTTTTTGTCTTTAAGTCTTCTGCCTAAAACTAGAAACTAAAAACGAAAGCAATTTCAAAACTTGGTTTTCTTCGGACTAATCGAAAGCGAAAATAAAACAACGTGGATCGAATCCATCCTAAGTTAACCAACTCATTCATCCTATGGGCCTCAAAACGCTTCTGCCAGAATGAAAGGGCGGCGTAGCTGTTCCGCGAGGAATGAGGCCAGGCAAACTCATGCATCAACTACAGTGGCTTTACGATGAAACCGGATTATTATGGAAAGGCTGAGGCAAGTAGTTAGTGAGAGCCTGGGAAGAAAGAGGCAGACGTTCAGCCGAGATACTCTGACCCTGGATGGATTCTGCTCCTAAAACCCTGGGTGAGCAACACCGACGACTCTAGCCACATTGACATACCACTTTTTCTCAACTTCAAAACTGCACCTGACATAGTTCATCAGTGATGTAAAATCTT